TCTGCAAAGCATCATCTGGATTATGGTGTGGGCACTGTATTTCAGGAAAGATACAGAACAAAACAGGCTAGGAAAGGAGGACAAGAGGTCTAGAAAACAATCTGTTAAGGAGAATTTGAAATGTTTATAATTGTTTAATCTGGAAATGAGAAGACTGGTAGAAACCATTAAATATATAAAATCTGATTAGAGGAGAGGTGAGGAAAGGAGAAATAAAGAGACTGGAATCAAATGTTGAGGCAGGCTATGAAGTCTCCATCACTGAAGGTTTCTGGAAACAGGTTTGACAAGCATCAGTGAAGAGTGACACAGACAGCTGATTCTATCTTGGGGGAAGCTGGTATACAAATTCTTTCCTGAAGAGTCTTCTTTCTATCTGATTTTCAGTGACTACCACTTGAGCATTGCCATTCCTCCTATAGTTACTAGCAGGAGCATATTGCCAGGAGATGCCTGGATACTCTGTGACCTCTATTAGGCTTTTCTATGCTTGTTGCCACGCAGACCACAGAAATGGGATAGCTGAACCTATTCCTTGGCTACAGTAGGAGAGGGTAACCCCTGACCCTGCTCAAAGCATATATGCTAGCTGTGGATCTATTTATCATCTTGACATTTCCAAACCACCTGGGCTTCAGAACCAGGGATCAATGTAGATAGAGCTGGGATGACTAATCGTTTATTAGATACAAAGGTTTTCATGGCCATTAACTTTGATTTGTTAATATACTTGTGAATGATGGCATTTCTGACTCATTATGACAGCTGCCGTTACACAATGATCTGACTAAGCCACTTATGTTGTGGGTGTTATGGGTAACAGCACTGTTAGAACTCATGTACTTATGGATATTTGGCTAGATGATAAAATAAAGACAGAATTGCGAAGAGGACTTGTTCCTACTGCATTGGAAGCTAGGAGAACTTCCTAGGGAATGGCATTGCTGTGTACCTCCTGAGTGCCTGGTGAAAGGGAAGAGAGGGGAGAGGAGTCACCATAACATAAGTATGGTGACAAGGCTGAGAGGGGCTCCTCTTCTGGGCAGGAGCACTAAGGGCTGTACTCCTCAGTTTAGAAGTTTAGACATCTCAGTTCTTTCCTCAGTGGGAATGAGCTAAATAACAAGACTTCTCCCATAAAGAGATTGGACTGTGCACTTAGTCACATGGTCTGAACTTTTGGGTAGACCTGTGCGGTGTCAAGAGTTGGACTTGATGATCCTTAAGGGTCCCTTCCAATTCAGGATATTCTATGATTCTATGATTCTATGTGCAGAGGCCTGCGTGCTTTTCTTCCATTCAGCTCCCCGTTCAGTGAAGGGGCTTCAAGGTGTATACAGAGGGAGAGGCCTCCCAGGATTGTCCGTTGGGTCATGTCCATTCAAGCCTGTTTCTGCTACTGACTAGGAAATCTACAAGAGCTGCACATAGTTAAAAGCACAGTAGAACTTCAGAGGATAAAAGACTCTGCAATCCAGTCCAAGATTCAATGAGAAGAAGGGAAAATCCTTTGAATACAACAATGAAAGCTATTACAGTGCCAGTCTCATGGCTATAAAAAAAATGCCATATCCTCTAGCTAGATTGGAAGATAAATTTATTTCATTAAGTGGTTGAGAAAGTTTCTCTACTACTACCTTTTCCCAGGCCTGTTCATTTGTGGAGTCATAGTACTTTGATGAGAAATACAGTAAGAATAACGTGAAAGAAAGGCATCTGCAAAACAGTGTTTTGAGGGTTATGTAGTCATGCTTTCTACCAGCCAGCAATTTTTACAAAATTACTATTGCAGAGTGAGCATTTCTGACACGCTTGGCAAAGCTGGTCTGGGTTGTGCCAAGCTTCACTGAAACTGCAGGGTGTGACTACTTTCTTTCAATTAAAAAACAGTTACAATTCTTTAGAGAATTGGCTACTACACCCTACACACATGCCCATGATATTAAATCCAAGATAAGAGCAAAATTTGTAGGTGCTGAATCTAACATAAGCCTCTGCAACAAAGACCAGAAATTTTCTGTGGACTGATCACTGACTAAGCAGTGACAGGGGCTATGAGCAGAGAAATATAGACCTGCTGTTCTCTGGCTAACACCTTCAACCTATTGTACAGTTAACATTTTTATTGCAACAACGAGAATTGCTAGGGTAAACAAATGACAACTGTCATTTATACCTTTCCAGATGAACCACTCACAACACTCAGTAGAGTCTGAGAATAAGCAGCAAATGTACAGCATGCTGAAAGAATTGGTTATGAGACAACAATGTATGTAGGTCATAGTGCAAGCCATTCTGTCCTTGCTGTGTTCCAGTCAAAACATGTCAGCATTACAGTAGGTTCTTATCTAGTACAACAAGTAAGAGTAAAAAAAAAATTCCATGCAAACTCATTTTTGTCACAAAACATTTTCTTGATGACTTTAAGCAGCTAACAGGTCCCTCATGCACAATATATATATATATATATATTTTTTTTTGTGCTTGATTATTAAGGTTAGCTTAAGATGTTTCCTCATGTGATGTGTGTTTCTGATGATCTGTAGCAGGTCACCCTTAAATACTTCTTTTTGTTGCATGCAGTCTCATTGCTACAGAATGTAACTTGTGGTTTGCTGTAGAAGCCTGGGTTTAGTCTGTGGGCTTGGATATCTTTATTAGTGTCGTAAAAAGTAATCAGTTCTGGTTATGACTTATGAAACATATGGGTTCCGTGTTCAAGAAAGAAACATAGGAAATGCCTGCCTGACCATGCTGCTGCCATGGTTACAATGAATTTAAGGCCAGCAGAGGGGCTGTGCTTGTTCATCATCCAAGGGTAATGCCTTCTTTAGTGTCGTGGGCCCACATTTCTCACCTATTTCCTTCCTTTCCTTCCTCTTCCTCCTCCATCAAAAGGCCTGGTACAGGTTGCTCCTGTTACGAGAGTTATAAACTTGGGCTGTTTATACATTGCTTACCACGGAAGATGAAATGCTGAAGTAAATCTGGAGGCAGTACCTCTCCTTGACGTTGCTTGTTCCTCAGCCTGAATTTAATGAATGCTAGATGCTAGTCCAGAAGGTGAAGGTGAGAAAAAAAAAAACAAACCAAAAACAAACAAACAAACAAACATGTTTCATTAAGAGACAAATAGTAAGTCCCGTGACCAAGCAAAGGTAAAATGTTTGGGTAAAAATAGCAATAGCTCTAGACTGATTTTCAAGTTTTAAAATATCTGCTCTGTGTTAACCAAGCTAGTAGATGAACAGATCAAGCTTTACTGCTGATATTATTTTAGAAAATGTAAACCTGGAAGGCTACCCAGAAGGGCTTAAATTACCCCAAGTATTGTGTGTGTTTGTTTGTTTGTTTTCCACCAAAATGTATCATTTGGGCTAAGGAAAGATAATATATCTTTAGGCAAGACTGTCTCTTAACTTTGAATTAATTTTCTACAACAAAACTCTTTATCTCTGGTACAGAGATATAAGAGGCCTAGAAATATTCAAATTTAACCATTGAAAGAAAAACATCTGTATAATTCATGGCAAAATTACGAATAGCATGTTGTATACTAAGTTAAACATACTAGATCCCTCCTTTCAAAAGATTTTTCTAAAGATAATATGCAAAGAGAAAGAAGAAAAAATGATAAAGGAAAGTAGGAGACCTAAGATGAATTTCAGAGCTTCCGTAAATATAAATAAGCATTGTTACTGGAAGGAGTGCTGTTTCCTTGGTCACCCCTAGCTTGTGTTTGAATGACAGAAAACAAAATTCTTTGGCATAATTTGCATTTCCACAGGTATTTTGTTCTATAGATGTAGCATCAGCTAACCGGATTTATTGTATTTTTTTCTACGTAGAATTACATGTATTTCTCAAAGTCAGCAAAGGTGGAGACAAAAAAATGATATTTTTTTTTTTAAGGAATTACACAATTTGCAGAGATATCATACATAGTTTATTCCTGATGTGGCCTATAACAGAATCACACAATAAAGTATTTAGAAATACATTTAAAATACTATTCTGCAGGAGTGAGATTTATTACCCACTCATAAAACAGTATAAAAGCCTAAATAATTGCATTTTCTTTCCCCCTCTCTTTGTTATTCTCTCCCCAGAATCGGGTTTGTAGTACAATGTGGTTTATGCAGCTGTAAGGTTTTATCCACATACATGATGTGCAATTACTCCATTCAAGCTAGCTGGAAGGATATTTGAACTTAACAAATTTCCTGCATTTTATGATTCCTGGAAAAACTTGTTAGATATGAGTTGTATCACTTTACAAACCCACAAGATTGCTGAAACAAACAAACAAACAAAAATAAAATCATTTTTTATTCAGATTTGCAACAATAAAATGAGCAATGAAAGGTTGGAACAAGCAGTAAAATTGATAGCTGTAAAATAGAAAATAGAAGAGGAATATTGGAGGAAAGATGTTTAAATCAGTGAGATACATATAAGCTGTGCTAAGTTAACTCTGGCTGATAGTAATGTCCATGTGATAATGCAAATCTCCAAATCCCCAGGGCACTTTGCATGCGAATGGTGAGGACTGTGTGGTGTATGTCTTGGATGAGAAATGATCAGTCCTTAGGAAAATATCAGTAAACAGAACATTACAGCAGGAAGTGGTCATGACAAAACACATCCTCCAGATCTGGATGCCTGTTTCCGAATAAGTGTTGTGCTGTCTGAAAGGAAGCAAGACTCCCATGGCATGTGCTCAGCAGCATCATCTCCCTAGTTGATACATGACCATGTCCCCATCCTACAGGAGTGCAGCACCAAAGGGAGGCTCCACACCTGCTGAAGTATAAACTGGATGAATGGACTTAATTGTCTTCTGAAACAGAGTTTTGAAAGGTTTGGTTTTAGGATCCCAATCTGCTTCTCATTGCTGCTGCTGATTTGCTCTAGAACACTATGAGGAGTTAATAGAGCTAATAATTATAGAAAGTCTGGTTCTGATAGTCTATTTGATTATTTCTCCTTTCTGTTTTCAGGCTCTTGAGGGAAGAAGCAGTGACTGACTGACATCACCAGCTGAATCAAAGGGAGAAATATGGCAAGCCACCATGAGCAGGCTGCAAGCCATGCAGGACAATGACCAGGGAGAACTCTGTGCCCAGTCCCTGTGGGCACATGCTGACCCATCCAGGAGGATGAAAAAATACAGAAAAGTTTCCAAGAATTGCTGCCTCCAGTACATAATGGTACAGCAAAAGACAAAATAAACAAAAACCAAAAATGAGACACCAAATTCCCAGTGCAAGACCCCATAATGAACAAAGAATGTCAATGATGGTGAATTCTCTAGACTTACAATGGGATAGACATGAATTTATTTCAATGTAATGTGCTTCATTTTGGTGATAAAACACCAAGCCAGATTTTCATTGTTGGCATTACGTTTGTGTGTTGACTTGGTACATAATGCCAACAATGAAAATCTGTGAAATTGAATCAATCAATGAAAGTCTCTCAAATTTTATGTTTGACTTCTCTGACCTGCATAGAAGTACACTGCTGTGTGCAATGTGTTGGAGAGTAGCCTCAAAGTTGAAATTCCAGGCTTTGCTTTTGAAGAGAGAGATTGTGGTGCTTCAGTATGACAGGGACTGCTATTAGAAGCACAAAGGTAAGGAAAATGATTCCTCAAAATGTTCCTGAACCTTTATACAAGATCTGTTTTAAAAAAGTTACCCACTTTTCCAAGATATTTCCAATACTTTTTCATGTGTCCAAATCCACATATTTTTCTACAGAGAGCTGTTCAGTTTTTCACAGCTCAGCATGTTCAGATCCAGTTACTAATGATCTCCACCTCAGCAAGCCAAATTGCAACAGCTGTGCCTAATCATTTTAATGCTCTCTAGTGTTGACTTGGATTATAGCATGTTATTTCTGTTCACTTCTTCAGCTCTACTAGCTATTACTAAACAACTTCTAGCACTTGCAAAATGCAAAACATTATGCAAAGACGTTTATATGGGTCATGAGTTTTAACTGAATGGTAGATCCCATTCATATTTTTTTATTTACTCAACATTTTTCAGGATCAAACTGCGATCAAATCAAAAAAAAAGATGAAATGATTTAAGAAGAAGCATTAGCAAGCAATTTATTTAAATATCACACCTGGATCATCTCTCTCCTCCCCCAGATGTCAGAGATCTCTGGCAGAGATGTAGCTGGTGATATACTGCCTCTGAATCTTTCTGTCTCTGGATCCCATCACAAGACAACATCCAGTGACAGCAGCCTGTATCGAAATGTCACATATGTCTTACAGTCACGCTCATGTTTCTGGACTGGATTAAAATAATTATGTGGGGAACAGAGCTAGCGGACAGCAGTCCATATTTTTCTGCAGTCTAGCTGCAAGTGGCAGGTTGTAATGGCAGGTGCATGCTTGGGATTAACAGATAAAGGTAATGTGTTAACGCATCAATCCCTATAAAATTGTTGCCTTGCTAGATCAAGCAAGCTGTCTCCCTGTGAAAGCAGTTACTTCAGTGAAAGAAGCTATATGAGATGTTTTGCCGACAGAAAACATGCCAATTGCAAATCTTACCTCCCCACACCTCCAGCCAATATTACTAAAACATGGATCTGTCATATTGGCAACATTAGTAAGGTGTTTTTTTTTTTTTTATGTCTCACACCTCCTCACCTCTAAATAACACTTGGGACAAGTTTGTTTGCTTCCTGCATATGCAAAATGATTAATCCTCACCTAGTGGAAAAAAAAAAAAAAAAAAAGAAGAAGGAGGAGAGGGCACAAGCAAACCAGCATGTAAACACTGATAGATTTCATTTATTTTCATTATAGTCAAGTTTTCACTCCTTCCCCCTGAAAAGTTTTTTTTTCTTTCTGAGCTGGTAGTGAGAGGGTGCATTAAACACATTAAACATGAAGAGGTGGTTAGCTTTACCTGTTAGCTTGATCATGTCAGTAATACCTTCCTTGAATAGCTACCACATTGCTTCATCCTACCCTCAGTAGTTCTAACCTCATTTTAAATGTTGTTTGTGCCTGAGATTGGTTCAATAAACCACTGCTGCAAGAGCAGGTCTTTTCTCTCTTGCCATAAAATGCAGCTGCAAAAGCAGACACTGAGAAGTGCAGCACTTCCTGACTACAAAGTTGGTTGCACAGAAATGGCACATTCAGTAAGATTTCAGCTGTCAATGTATTGGTATAAGAGTCCTGCAGTTATGTAGTGGTTTTCTAATTTTTGGTGTGGGTGGGCTCTGCAGGAGCAGTTTACTATTTTTGCCATTGTACCAGGCTGACAGACCCTTTAGCCAGCAGAGGTGTGACACCAGCTCTGTGAGCTTTAAAGAAGGAAAAATTATGAATGCTTCATTTGCTGTGAAAAGATGGTATTTACTTTACTTGGTATTTGTTTTACTTATAGTAAGTATTATGCAGTGCAGGAATTGACTTGTTAATCACATCTAAATACGTAGCAGAGGTATGTATTTGTAGGCTTGCTGAAGCACTTGCAGAGGATCAATATGTGTGGGATACGTATGCACATGGAGTGGTAGTGTTTTCAGACATGCTTAGACAACATAAAAATACTTTTCAAAGGCAACTATCAGCACCTTATCTCATTACTAAGAAGTCAAGAGATCTATTTGATTTGTAAAGTGTTTTCATTTAAGGGTTTCATATTAACAGCCTTTCATGTATTTGGTTTTCTTTTTTTGGTATTTGCATGCAAGCAATTGAAGTTGCATAATGCTGCAAAATATTGTCCTTAAAAATTCAGTCAAAGACATTTAAATTATTTGTTTTGGATAAATGTTTCACCAGCTGACTTGTACTTACCCATTTTTGTGTTGTTCTTGCTGTGAAACTTTATATGTAAAAACATGGACACTGGTTTTCTGTGACATCAGGCTAGTGCTGCATCAGTTTGCACAGAAATACAAGACCCAGATTCAGACTGGAACAGAAGGTTTCAGGGGGCTTAGTATGAACAATTTGACTTCCCAGAGTCACAAGTGGCTGAGTAACTCTGTGGGTTTAACAGCATGCTATATATCTATAAAAAAAAAAATATTATGGCACTGAGGAAAATACAGACATCCCTTGTACTGGTTATGCTTTCTTCCATCCTTAATATGTCTCAAGTAAAAAGCATGATTTTGTGAGTCTTGAGTGTTGTGTCTGTGGCTGGAACAGCAATCTTTTTAACAGTGCAGGGAGCCCGACAAACTTCCAGAGGCTTGCAAGTTTAGTGTTACAGGTCCAAAGCAGTTTAAAGCAACAGAATTATACTTTGAATAAATAGAGACTAATTTATTTGGTTAAGATAGGAATACATAACAAGAAATGAACAGAACAGGCAAATATTTACATGTTTTACTTAAGTTTATAATACAAAAATCTAATACATTAAGTACCTTCCCTCCTAGTTTGTAATACTGTCCCTTCCAAGGCTGACTACACAGTCTCTTTAAGCTATCTGAAAATAAACCACTATCATGAAACAAAATTTCATTACATTGAAACAACTCCCAGTTACCTGATAGATCTGAAAAAGCAGTCCCTGAGCTTTTAGCTACAGGAAGCACAGGCATAATTTTTCTGGAAGCAGGAAGCTGTTTAACCATAGTTTTAAGATGAACTTACTTTTTCTGCTGAAAACAGAAGTAAACAAAACAAAAAAACCTGCTAATACAATGTTAAACAAAATGTGAATGTATCTGAGTGTGTCATATAAACATTTGTGGTTTTTTTAGCCTTACAAATTATACAAACATATATTTTTAGTTCCTCCTATACTTATTCAGAAAGTAGCAAATAGTTGAGAACAAAGAATTACAGCGTCTGGTAATTCAGCATTTAATTATGTTTAAGTCTGTTAAGGAATGGATAAAAAATGACAAGAGATCATGATAACAAGGAGGTTTCTCACTTTCACAGAATCTTCAGAAAGATTAGGTTTATCACTTGTGATGAAAAAAAAGATGGCATTTATGCCTTGCTGTTGGTCTTGGCAGATTCCCATGGCAAACCGTATATTAACCAAACTCCAACTTCAATTGGGTTCCATCTTCATGTAAGGTCCTTTTACCTACAAATTTATTTCTAAAACCAATTTCCTGTTATTTAACTTCACTGTCTTTTTAGGAAAAGAATGCAACAGAGAATGAAGTTAGCTATTTACCTCCGTATGAAAGCAATTTTAGTTAAAGAGGACATAATCAAAAATGTAAAAAAAAACATCCAGACTTGGTGGACATAAATGATACTTCCAAGTCCTAATCATGTGCATGATGACTAATCATGTGCAAGAAAGCACATATTTACAAACTGCATAGCAAGATGATGAATAATGCTTTTTCAATATATTTTCTGTAGTGCCATTCAACATTGATATACTGTGGAATTTAGTTCTGAAGATACTGCCATTCTAACCAAGACACTTTGCATATACTAATGGTATGAATATTGAAAGAAAAGTCAGTTATAGCTGCTGGGAATGATTTTCTCTGACAAATTTCAACAATAGCTGTTTTTCATTTGTTCAAATTCCTGACACCATATAGACTATTTTGAATATCTATAGTATATATACTGTTTTGAGTACATGGGCCTATGTTGCAAAATAATGCTAAAAAATTACATTTGTGGATTATTTTAGAGATAAATACAAATAGGAAAAAATCTGCCTGAAAAGCTATTTTCACTTTATTCATAAAATTATGGTTAGATGACTAATTCCATGAGTAGGAATTTAATCTATCTGATAGTTTAAAATCCTAAAATGGGATTTCATAAACCCCCCACAATAAATTGAACTACATAAAGCGTTTGTCTGAAAAAGAAAGGATGTTTATTTTCAAAACACTCAACAGCTATTATAAAGAAATTATTTTTTCCCTCTACATTAATCTATTTACATATACTATATATATACATATACATACACATGTACTATGTTATAATTTGGATTGTGCATTATTGTAAGGAAAACCATAGATCCATGTATTGTACAACTTGGTATAAGCAAAAACTTGGATATAGTGCAGTCTTTTTTTTTGTCTGAAACTGTATAAAAATTAAACATATGTAAGACATTATTTCACTGTATTGCTAGTAATTTGCTGTAGACACTGTTATTTACGTTAGTAGAGCAGGTACCCCTTCTGCTATTGGTAGACATTGACTGGCCACTGCTGTTACTACTGTTAGCATCTTTAGTCCCTTTAGAACTGATGAGGCTGAAAAGTTGTCTCTGATACTGAGAAGAAGCATAGTAGTAAACAAGGGGATCGATGCAACAGCTAACACTACTGATACAAACACACAGGAGATAGGCAAAGTACAGATACTCTAAACTGTTGTCATATGAATAACTGATATAATGAATTAATAAGAGGATATTTGTTGGTCCAAAACAAATAATGAAAACAGAAAAAACTGCCACACACAAAAGCAATGCACGTGTCTTCTTATTTTGTTTTGCAACAATATTAGAAGAACTCAAACACCGAATGATACACACGTAACAGATGGTAGTTATTATAAATGGCACTATAAAGAATACAGTAGAGAAGATGGAGAAAAAGTTAAAGTAGTACTTGTGAAGTTCGGATTCCCGTAGCACATCATGACAGGTTGTTATATTTAAGTTGGTTATTTCCATGGTTTGCTCTCTGATGAGAAAAGGAATAACCCCAGTTATTGCTACAAGCCATATGATGAAACAAATCACTGTGGCACGTGTTACTGTACGCCAGCCAAGGGCCTGCATGGGGTACACCACTGCTAAGAAGCGATCAAAGCTTATGCTTGTCATAAGCATTATTGAACAGTACATGTTGCAGTAGAAAGCAGCAGTGACGAAGCGGCACATTTGAGGTCCAAATAACCAGTTGTTTCCAGAGAAATGATAAGCAATCTTAAAGGGAAGCACACTTACAAACAGCACATCTGCAAGGGCCAAATTCAGCATGTATATTACAGCAGGCTTTTCGATTTTCATTTTTTTCAGGAACACGAATATGGATGTAACGTTCAGAGGGAGGCTCAGCACAATCACTAAGGTGTAAACTGAAGGAACAAAACGGGTCAGCCATGGACTAGTGAGGTATCCTGCTGTTTCCACTGACACAGTTCGTTGTTCACGTGGAGGTGATCTGGTCTGGTTGGTGAAACCTGTTGGAAATTCTGACTCATTTTCAGCACTGCTTTCAATGTCTTCTATAGGTATAGGCTCACCACGGTCAGGTATCAGAAAAGTTCTGGCCCTTGGACTACTGCTGTTGGATCTAGAGGCTGAAAGAAAAGACAGTATAAAGATTAAAAAGCAGATATTTCATACTACGGGGGACTGAAAACATCTTTTGAAAAAGAAAGCTAAAATAATATCAACAACACAAAATAATACAGTTAATACTTTATTCAAAATGTGGATGGCTCACAGATTTTGGTCCATCCATTTTGTTTTAGCCCCTGTTACAGTTTGAGTAATACTTTCCCCTTTAACTCCACTCTCTTAAATTCTAAGCTCTTTATGATAGGGACAAAACTCTATCTGTGCTTAAGGAACCAATCTAGTCTATATTCTCTGTAGGCTACTTTAACACAAATACAATTGTAAATTTGCCACCCATAAATTTTCTTTGTCAGATGCTTCATAAAGTTTATTAGAATTGAGGTGCTGGCATAAATGTTGGTATTTATACACATAAGTACACATTACCAAAGTAACAAAAAGTGAAAGTGTGATTAAAATACCAAGTTTCTGAGATATTTCTGTGGTCTCCTGATGGCCAGATGAACATAAAGACCAATGGCAGAAGTCTTCACAGTTTTCATGGCTGACATGAATCACCCTCCTGCTTGGATTGAACAGGTAGCCACAGATTCCACTGAAACACTTTCCCAGTTCTACTTATTGTATGCTACAGTGTGCATCGAGGTCAGCATGCATCCAGCATGCCCTTCCTGCACTTCTGAGATGTGCCACAGACATTGCCTCTGCAGTGATGTTTTCTGCAGCATGGTTCACTGACTACAACTGAGAAGATGTGTCAGGACACAGCATCCCTGCCTTTTGAATGTGGACAGATTAAGTTAAGGCAGTGAGAATTACAAACTGTTGCAGGTGTGTTAAGGGCATATGTATGTAAAAACAAACAAAGCAAACATATGAACACATATTCTGGAAGAACACCTTTTTCAGCTTATTGTAGTTATGTGAAGGTTATTTCAAACATATTATGAGCAGGCAGAACTGACAGAGTTACTACTACGAAGTAACCATTCATCTACTCAGCTATGCACCTGATCACTTGTTAAATCCCAGACTACTAAACAAAAATTAAGCTGTGTAAGCCTAAATCAGTGAGCCAAAAGTACTTGGGCATGATTCATCTATCTATTCTTCAGAAGCAATTATTTGTTCTATAGTTCTATAGCAATTCAATCCTTTTTTTTTTTTTTTTTTTAATGCAGATGAGAACAAAAGCATCCTAAGGAGGCAGATGGCAAAGAAAGGAATGACTGCAGCGTTAAGCAGCCAACTACCAACCTTTGTGCGAAGGGCTGTGAGAGAGGAGCCTTGCCCAGCCTAAATGTTAGTAAAATCCAGGCTTGAATGTGGGAGAGGATGAAAGCAGAGACAGAGGGATTTGGGCATTTTTTATTTTTTTAAACTGCTGTGCTGCAGATACCATGCTGTATCATGGCAGCATTCTGAGGTAGGAGAGGACAAACAAGGGGACATGTTTGTGATGTGTTTTTATATACATTTATTTGAGTGCATTCTCTACAGGACAGAAAAAGGCTGCTGGATAAGAATTCAAGTCTGGGAGCTTGTTTATGTAGACTGAAGTAGGAACTATTTGATAAGTATACCAAAACACAAGTGTGACAGACATATGTGGGATTCAGCACGCAGTGTTTGTACAGAATGGCACTACGCAAAGTTATGCAAGGATCTGTTCTTCATTCCAAACGAGAACATTAACAAAAAGCAGAACTATGGAACCTCAATCTTTAACATTACTTTAAAATTTTAGTGCGATTTGATGGCTCAGTCAGCTCTTAATTTAGCAGTTCATATACAGCATAAATTCACATCTCTAACTTTAGCATGTAGCTAACATTGAATAATTAGGTGATTTCCACTACTTAATGATTATCGCAGTAAAAACCTGTCACAACTGACACGATTGGTATTCACCTCTTATGAGAGGATCATAATTATATTTGAATGAAAAAAAAAAAAAGAAAGAGATTTCTTCTGCCACAGGCAAGTCTTCATGGTAAAGCTTATAGACATCACTAAGAGTGATAAAAGAATTTGAATTTTACTTCTGATATTTCCAGTACACACTTGTTTTATGAATTCAAGACTTCATATGCTATGAATATAAATTTCTTCAATTGTTTTTTATAAAATAAAAAATTTTTGAAGAAGGAATTTAATGACAATCATAGTCCCCAGAGTTCTATGCTTCTTTCTTGGTTCCTCTGTCACTGAAGAACAATGAAGAGGTGACATGGTTTCATGCGAGCTAGGCACATTTTGAGGAAGCACAGGTGTAAAATGAGCCTGGTGAGAAGCAGGGTAGAGCTGTGTTTAGAGACAGGAATTATATTACCAAGATCACCTCTGCATGATGTGTGAACTGAGGTGCTTCTAACAAGCACCTCTCATAACCCTGTATCCCTGAACTTTGAAGGTTTTCACCTATGCTGCCTAACTGTAGTTAGCAGTGTTGCTGTGAAGCCTCAGAAGTGCTGCTGTGTCTCTCTTTTTGAGGACTAGCAAGCAAACGAGGTGGAACCACAGACCCATAATGGCTGGGGGTTAAGTTACTTATCGTGAAAACTCTTGCCAGTAACCTGACCCATTTCTCGTCAGTGACTGATTAGAACACTACCAAAATAAGTTAGAGAAGAAAAATGATGATTGACAGATGTTCTGTATATCAACCACAAGCCTTTGAATAAGCTATTCCTTGTAGTTACTTAAACATTGCTGATAATTTTAATTATATACTGAAATCTTGGAGCTAATTACTTTACAAGATGAGTTTTAGATGGAAGTATTTACAGTCCACATTACTCCATTATCAAGATTTCCTAAAAGTAGAATCCTATTAGAATAACTCAGGGCAAGCATAAATATTTTTAATTGAGTTAAAATTCTACTGAATAATACTTCAACTTAGCCAAACTACATGTTCTTCATACAAGCAATGGCTTTCTAAATTCAGAGTTTACCTCAACCTTGAACAACATCTCCATGTCGTGTACTGTGCTCAGTCCACATCTTCATCTTGAACTTAGATGACATGAGCAACTACTTGAAAGTCAGCTGTACGGGAAAATAGGATGAGACCTCAATCTTGCTGTTTCTCTCTGCTGCTCTCTAATACAGATAACATGAATCAAAACTTTCTTAACGAAACTAAATTGTAATTAAATTATTTATAGCCAGATATCAGTTCTTTTCCTTTGCAAAGATGTTTATATGTTTGTGTGACCCAATGTTTGTACATTATTAGAAAAACCAACAGTGCACTCATGCTTTATAAAATGGAAAGCAAGACAGTAAGTGCCCTGGGGTTCTGGATTCCTTTTGTGTCAGTGTTTATTTGAGAAAGGCAGTGATCAGAGATTTATACATGTAAGAGTGAATGACTTAATTATGTCTTATTATTTAAAAAAACAAAACACTGTAATAGGAAACAGACTCTATCTATAAGCTCTGATAATACATCAAAGCTCTACAGTAGCTCTACAGAAAAGATTTTCTGTATGAATACCAGAATGTGCCAGGTGTTCTTTTTGAGCTGTTTTAAAGATGCAATGGAGTATGTCTCTAAAATATACTTGACTAAAGCCTAAGACATTTTTAATCATAGAAATAATCTGTCCGGAAAACAGAAGTAAAGCTTTGATAGCATAACAATCATAAATGCTCGGGCATCCTGCTTCTGCTACGCTATCACCCATTCCTTTGGGAAGAGCCCAAAACTTGTGGATTATTATTTATATGATTAATGGTATTCTCACTGCTGATCTAACAGAGTTAATAGCTGCATCAAAGTACTTGTACTATAGAAAGAGCTCTGGCTTAACTAAGAACAAACAGGATAAAGCATTGGAGTTTTATCCTCATGGTGTGCAGTCAGGACACTACACTATGTAGTGTACACTACGCTCTTCCCTTTGCTTCTTATAAGGACTTCAAAAGACAAAAATTAAGCAAAATCAGTACAATACTCAAATTTCCTGAAGTTTTCTTTTACTGCTTTTGCACTGATTATTCAAGAAGGACATGCAGAAATGATATAGAAAGCTAGAAAGTGCACAAACTGTATAAAGTTTGTGACTGATTTTAACAATCCATTGTGTTCTATTTTCCATCTAGTACCAAATACTGTTGATCTCCTGGTTAGCATACACATATTCTGCTTGCCCTGAAAGATGGTGCTGTGTTTCACAAAGAGCTATTTTGTAATTTCATGTATGTTTTCATATGCAAGGGGTTACTGTGTGTGCTGTTTTGTGAAAGGAAAAGTAGAGAGCAAAACATAACAGCTTCAGACAATCTTAAACAGCACTCCACATCTCTTGAGCACCAGAAGAAAATTTTGAAGTATTTCTATAAACCCATAAACCTAGATAGTTACAAATCCGCACTGTTCATCTTTACCTCACAAAATACTTTTTTTTTTTGTTCGTCTGTTTTTTAATGAGGTGCAAAACTAAACACATTAGACTCTGACTCAAGACAGTTAAAGATACTCTCTGTGTGCCACCGGACAACTATAAATACTGATTTCTGGGCATTATGGATTGTAGTGCTGCACCACTGGCTTACAACATGAAGTCTGTTCCTCTTATCTTCCCTTTGTATAATCTGCATGGATGCTCATCTACAATCTAAATTTATAGTGGCCCAAAAATTAGGTACTGAAAGACAGAATGATAAATGCAAGCCAGATGTTTATAAGTAAGGTAAGCTACAGTCTTGTAGGACAGGTGACAATTATTTCCTTTTGTAACAATAAACACCATGTTTTCTTTTTAAAATGTTCTTTAACACATATCTCCATTCATGCAGAGTTCATTATTGTAGTACATGAGTAATGCAGTAACAATTTTCACACATTTTTATGAAGTCTCATTTTCTTGCCAACAGATGTCTGCTCCTTTTTGCTTTCCTTTCTCAACAGCTTTCACCATGCCTGCTGGCTTCAAGCAATAGTAGCATCTGTCTCTTTATCCAGCTGTCAGTGTCCCAACACAGGCAAGTCCAGGCAACTTCAGACCTCAGCCAGCTACCTTGGCGTGCCCAGCCTTTGTGAGGCAGCACCCCGTGAGCTTAGGAGCAAACACCCAGCACCAAGCCACTGCAAATATTTGTTGTTGTTGTTGTTTTTCACTTGCCCACAGGACCAGCAGAGGCCAATATAGTGAGAACTGTGGGTATTGAGGGATCAAGTAGGAAGTGGGAGAGAAGCCACAGGTGCAAGAGAATAGCTGGCCTAGGGATGCAGCAATGCACATGCAGTGGGAATTAAGAGCATTGTGGTTAAAATAGGGAAGGTTACGTTGGACAGCAGGGAAAGGACATTATTGCTGTGGGAGAGGGTGAAAGGGGATCAGAGGACATGCAGATAGATGGCTGGGCTTTATTAGTTCTACTGCGCATGAAATAACTTGTTTGAATTTTTCTTTTCTTAGTGTTAGTGATGTAATACGGTAAGTATGTTGTTCATTGTTTCCTAAGGAAGCAGCAATTAAATAGTGTAAGTCTGGGTACGCTTCAATGAATATTACAATTGTAAAAGACAGGAAAACCAGCTTGGATGTTTCTATAAACTGGAAGAAGAGCGTTGAAGAGTACGATCTTTTTCCAACAATAATTTCTATAGTTCATAATTACCTCCCACGCATACATTTCTCCCCGTTGTTTTTTTTTTGTTGTTGTTGTTGTTATTTTTTTTATTTTTTTTTTATAATAAGGACACTTCCTTTCAACTTTTGATATGAACACGGTTGTGGCCTCTTTTCTTCCCCCTTGTCCTTATGACAAAAAGTTGTTTAGCTGAAATTTTCCCCTCTCTGACATTTCCCTCCCAGCATAATTACACACACTAGCTCTGTCCTCTCTCAGCCTTTATTTTAGTAGTCAAAGAACAAGACACTTAAAATTTTCCCTTAGCTGACAGACACTCTGTTCCTCTTATCGGCCCTTTTCTGTACTTTGAGCTTCCACTGAGACTTCCCAGCGGGTATCTCAAGAGGTGAAATTCTGATTTTTTAGCAGGGTTTTACAGGATTGAAGGAAACACTAAACAGAATTTTACACAAAATAAAAATGTTGCTATCTCTAATTGCATGATCTAGCCCTTAATATCATTGCAAGTTTACTAGAAACTGTGAGGCTAAACACACTTCTCTTACATTCCTCCCCTGAGCACCTGCACTGTCAGACAAGTTCAGAGCTAGACAGATCCAACGCTTCACCGCGTACAGCACACATGTTGTCATTCGTTCTGTATCTAATTAAACAAAGAGGAAAGTCATCTAATTAGGGTGCGTATTATGAACTGTTTTGTGTTGGCAGATCTTCCAGTCTTTGTTGCTGCCACATATTTGGCAGGCAGTCTATCTCCTGAAGTTGTTAACAAGGCAGTGCCATTCTTTTCATGAGACCCAACAGTACATCTCGCCAACCTCATCTCTTCTTTCCACCATAATCTGCTATTGCCAGGTCCTCTCTTCAGCCATGGGACAATTATAAATCCTTCTTCATCTTTAATCACCTCACCTGCGGCACGGTGTCACTCCGAAACCTGTGTATTTTGGATCCATGGCACTGCCTTTTACCCAGGTAGATAAACAAAGCAGTTCTCTGGCCGAACAACAGGCTGACACCGCTCTACCCAGCCTGACATGTGCTAGCCTGCTCTCGCGGCTGTGAGAACAAACCGGGCGCAGCGCAGTGAACGGCCGAAGGAAGCCAACGCTAATTAAAACCAGAAAGCAGAACCCCGTTGCCCCGGCTACCCGCGGGCACACGCCGCTTATTTCCCTCCGCCAGCGGGAAATTCATTTATTTCCCTCTGCTCCGGCCGGACCGGAGCCCACTCCCGGTATCCCCCTGCCCCTTCCCGAGGCTCAGGACCCCCCCGGGCATCCCCCGTCGGGGCCACTCACCGGCCTGCGCCGCGGCGAGCGGCGGCGAGAGCGGGCAGCTGAGCACGGCCAGGGCACAGAGCAGCGCGGGCAGCCCCATGGCCGCCGCCGGCTGCCTCCCTCCGTCCCTCCGTCCGTCTGTCCGTCCGTCCGTCCGCCCCTCCCCAGCTCCTGGCCGTGCGTCCCTGCCGCGCCGGGGGCGGTGAGGGAGGGCCGGGAGGGGCGGCTCCACCGAGCCGGGGCGGGGCGGGGACGGGGTCGGGGATGGGGATGGGGATGGGGATGGGGACGGGGATGGGGACGGGGACGGGGATGGGGACGGGGACGGGGACGGGGACGGGGACGGGGACGGGGACGGGGACGGGGATGGGGATGGGGACGGGGATGGGCGGTGGGAGCTTGCCTGCCCGCGCCTCCTCGGCGCTAGCTGGGCTCAGGGAAAGGGGGAAGGCGCCAGGGGCTTGGGCGCGGTGCGGCGGCAGGAAGTGCCAGACAAAGGATAATCCCCCCCCAAAATGGGTCAGAGTTTAAGGAGAGGAGTTTGCCGAGTTTTGTGCGCGTGATTCCAGTCGCTAGGACCCCGCAGTAGCATAGGAGGTTGAAGTAGCTGCAGTCTTAGTGAGAGGGAGGAGATGCTCCTTCGAGCAGAAATCAGTCTTCAATACAATAACCAACAGCTCACCTTCCACTGCCTGGGCTCGCTAACCTCACTGCCTTAAAAGCACTGGCCAACCTGAAATGAGATGTGCTACTCACTTCTGAGGTTCTTGTGTCTGTTTTCCGTTGTTTTTATTTTTTTGTTTTCATTTATTTATTTATTAATTTATTTATTTTGTTCTTATTCCAAGGATGCGCACGAAGTGCTGCCACTCCTGAGCTCAACGGCATACGTCTTGGATAAGAAAGCTTTGCTCTGTCCTTCCTAAGTTGCATGAATGAGAAACTGCTTGAGCTGAAACCTAATCAAAACTACAGAGGAAAATAACTTTGCAGCTATTATTTAGGCTCTTCTGTTGTTGTTGTTCTTGGTGGTGATGGTGATGAAAATACTTATTGTGCTGGAAGTTTAGTGCATTGTAAGCCTTAGGTGCATAATGCAATCAAAAGCTTTACAAGTAGATGCTCCATCATTTGCTAGAGTGTGCTGCCCCATCCTGAAGTGTATATATATTCAGTTTATCGCAATACAGACAGGATGGGAGGCAAGCTGTGTTTAGTAGTTGGTCAGATACACGAAGCTGAGCTGTTGCAGAAATGCTGGCCTGTACTCTTTAACTGAGAGTAATAGCTGTAGAAAATAAAGTATTCCTGAGAGCAAGTACTGGTTCGCAGCAAATTCCAGTCCTAATCCTTGCTTGCTCTACTATGTTTGTCTCACAATTCTAGCCATTCCTCCATGTTGTGGCAACATTAAGGTTCACTCTGGATTGCACAGACCAAGGAGAAGTAATGAGTATTAGTTTTACTGTGGGCTGGCCGTTCCTCAGGTGGGTAAGAAGACCTTGCAATTTAGTGAGAAACATGCAAGACAAACTCTGTCATCCCTGAACAAACCAGGGAACCACAGAGAATACCTTATACTGAATTGTTTCTTTTTATCAATTTAGAAAGTATTTTAATTACAGATTATTTATTTTAATCTATTTGGGAAGAGAGAGAAGCACTATTCTTGGACATTTCCATGGTCTTGCAGCTTTATAAGCATACCCAAATGCGATGTAACAGCAGTGGTTTTTCTGCCCAACACTATTTGTTTAGCATATGCATAAGCAGAAACTCCTTGTGAGCTGAATTTATCTTTTATGCTGCGGTTTCCTTAAGGAAGCTATAGCTGAGAGATAAGCCTTCAAGAGAGAAGAGAAAATAAGTTATAGAATATTTGTGGGGATATTTGTGTATTTGTGTGGAGAAACTCATTTTGCCATTGAAGTGAAAACTTTTTTTTTTTTTTTTCTTTTTAAAGCTGCTATACTGCATATGCAATTTTAAAGCATCAATCTGTTCTTTCACAGGTTGAGAAAAACTGACAGGATTTGCTGTACTGAATGATATTTAAACACACTGTGAAAACAGAAAGGGAGTTCTCTGAAAGTGCTTTCCATTAGAGGCACTCCATGTTTATAGTGTGTATTTATACAGACTCAAACGCATTTTAATCTATGTAAATAGGCACAGCAAAGTGACATCTGTGACCTAAATGTAGACTGCCTTGAAAAAAAAAATTGAAGCAAATGAGGAACTAACTCTTAACACACCATATATAGTAAAAACATGCCATGAACCCATTTCCAGTCTCAGATATGACAGCATTTTAAGAGCTCTGTCTTAGTGAGAAATGCAACAGCAAACATCTTGCTAAGAGTTCAAACTGGAGATTTGAGAGTTGACATTAAGGTTGGTCGGGGGGCTAGATCAACAAGTTGTGAAAACTTACATCCTTTGAACAATTTAGTTTGATAAAGAAGCATTACACCTGATTTCCCCAACATTCATTATATACCAAATTACTCTGACATGCACTTGAATGTGAAAATGAGCAAGCATTTCAGTTCTGGAAGAATGTTTTTAACATGTTTCTTCCACCTTTGGGAATCAGTATTATATGATGCCTTTCTCACAAAAAACATCCTCCTAAGTGTTTTTGAGATGTTCTTTAAGATAAAAGAAAATGAAAAATCTGATGTCTGGTTCAAGAATTTGGTCATGTACAGGAGGACAGGAGGAAAAATTGATAGGGTGGAGCTGACAAAATCTGTATCTGTTTTTTTTTTTTTTTTTTTTTTTTTTCTTTTTTCAAACATTTCAATCACCTATGTGGTCCCATGCTACACAACTGGAGACATGTCCAAGAAATGTCTATGAATACTTACATTTAGTATCCTGAAGGTATATGAGTTGGATCAGCTTCTGAGTGTTATGAAGAGATAGGCATCTGGAAACAAGATCAGGTTCTGGAACACTGTGCAATAGAGTTAACCTTTAGTCATAAGCTGGGAACAAGTATTGTTAAAGGAACTATCTGCAAAGAAATATTATTTATTTATTTTTTCTTTAACCTCCAATTTGAGTCTTAAAATGTCCTCATTTTGGCTAGGATAGGGTTAAATTTCTTCTTAGTAGCTGGCACGATGTTGTGCTTTGGATTTTTGATGAAAATAGTGGTGATAACACACTGATGTCTTAGTTGCTGCAGAGCACTCACACAAAGCCCAGGACTTCTCTCAGCTTCTCACGCTGCCCTACCAGGGAGGAGGCTGGGGGTGCACAAGGAGCTGGGAGGGGACACAGCTAGAACAGCTGGCCCTAGGGGGCCAGAGGGGTGTCCCTTACCACATGGCATCATGCTGGGCAGTAGGAATGGGGGAGTTGGCCAGGGCAGGGCTGTGGGGCACCATATCGGGTATCGGCTAGACATTAACCAGCTGGTGGTGAGCAATTGTGTCTTGCATGACTTTTTTTCTTTTGTTATTATTATTATCATTTATCAAACTTCATCTCAATCAATGACTTTTTACATTTTTAGCTTTTTCAGTTCTCTCCTCCATACCACGAGGGTGGAGAGGTAAAAGCTGTGTGTAACTTAGCTGTCTGCAAGGTTATACCACAACATAAATAAGTTTTTCTAAATATTTTACCAGACCCCAGAGAAAATACACATTTTTTGTTAATTAGATTCCAGAAGCCTTTAACAGTAGGCCAGTTTTTGAGGCATATGCCACTGCCTGCCAAATCTGTGAAATATGTGAAGGGAAACTCACATCATACCTACAATGATAACCTTCCTTTTCCTTTCAGTTATAAAGAACAGTCACAGAGCTATGTCCTTTGTATCCTTATAAATTGGCTTACTATAGATATGGAAAGTGAATAATAAAAAAAAAACAATAACTATTTTTAGATTTTCTGTTTGCATACAGGAGCCAAATTTATTTATTTATTTATTTATTTATTGTTTGTTTGTTTGTTTTAATCCTGTAATTATGCTACAGGATATGCTATACTTTGTCTGGATAAGCTAATTGTAATGGAGGTGAAGAGTTCACAATTTCTAAAAGTTGTAACACTTTTACATTCAATTTCTTGCATCTTTTTCAGCAGTTTTTTGTTGTTGTTGTTGTTTGTTTGTTTATTTATTTATTTTTCCCCTCAGGAGCATATCACAGTACAAAACTTCATTCCTATAAAACACCACAGGTCTACCAAGAAAGCCTGGAACCATCTGGATGCATCGTTATATCAATGGGAAAGAAGCCATCGTTCTGTTCAGGAGCTACCACACTGCCCTGGTGCATGCCTGGGTTTGTATTACTGCTCTAAAAGGGTGAGGTTAGAACCATATTTCAGAGGCAAAACCAGTCCTCCAGGTCTGGGAAGAGGGTTGTGTTGTCTAAGTAGTTATGAACTGTTTGATGTCAGATGTGACTGTTGCTCTTTGGATTTGCTATTAGAGGGAAGTTTGTTTAGTTGTTCTTGCTTGCTTTTAAAAAAGCACTAACAAAGGTCTGCAGATAGGCACCAAGTAAAACAGAACAGAGCAATCACTTGTGATAGTATTTCTCTCTGCTTGGTCAAATAAGATAGATGTTATTCATTCCACAATCTTGTGGATTGTTTTGGAGCTTCAGAAATCCGTCAGAACAAGTAAGTGCCAAATTAAATCAAGTTAATTGCAAAGCGCTCTTAGTCAACTCTAAAAATGGTATGTCAGAAAAATGCAAACTCTAAGTTTAACAGACAATGACTATTGACTATTATAATTTCACTTGCACTGTCTAGGAAAACGAACTTAATTGATGGACAGGTCTTTCAAGGAAAGACTCAGTTCCTCCTATACTGAGAACAGCTGAGTAAAAACACTATTCAGCTATGCTGTTTTTTTTCCTAATTTTTTGTCACCAGCAAGGCAAGTCTGTCCACAAGACTATTTCATGAATGAAACTGGTTTCATCAACGCATATCTAACCATGCATAATTGGAGTCCCTAAATCGCAGCTCACAGTAACCTCCAAAAAAACAATTTTCTACTTTCTAGTAGATATCACCTGTATATGACAGTAACTGGTGGGTACAGAATTACTTAGCCCAATTACATAGTACCAGTACTACCTGTCAATCTTATATTTAGGTAGAACCATTATGGTCAGCCTTGTTTGGCAGGGTTCATTATTTGTTCAGTGACAAGGTCCTAAACTGAACCAGCTAATTAAGAAGAAAGCTTCT